GACAGTAGTGACAATAGTAGAAGCACAGGTATTAAAAATAATCAATAAATGGTTTCCAGCTCAAACCTTTTCCAGTTCCAGTGGGCCAGTGCTGTGCATGTTGGCTTATTGTCACACTTTCACGCCATACTGGAAAAGAACTCAGGCGTTGTTAATTGTTATTGTTATTAGCAACCACAGTACTTGTCCTACAACTCGGCCTCCTCTGAAAAGGGCAAAACGGTGCAAATGTCAGTCAGTTTATTCTAATCAGAAATCAGATGGACACACGAACAAACCTTACGTGGTAAACTAACAGACATGCAGACCCCGAAGCACTGTGCCGCTTGATCTAAATCTGTGTGACCTTTCACACAGATGTCTCCCGTTTTTTAAAATGTGCCTTGAGAATGTTTTTTTTATCAGTTAGCCGCTTGATGAAGCGAAGATCTGTTGACCTCGTTTCCACATATAGCCTCTGCAGCGGCTGATGTTGATGTGTATTTTCAGAATGCTGAGTGCTGTGATCATTGTTTTCCTAGTCCTAAAATCTATTTAGTCTTCCTTCTCCCTCCATACATCTTGCTGGTATTGTGGTTCACTGTTTACGAGTAAAGTCATGCTATACATTTGTGTTTTTATAAAAAATAAGTCGGGCATCTGTACATGACGACTAACTGGCTTCCTGCTAACTTCTGAGTTCAGACTCATAAGTTAGTTGTCCTGTCTTGTCTGCAGCACCAGAGAGGACAGCTCTGCTGTTGTTGGAAGCTGAAAGATTTTTGGCTGTTTCCATCTTTAAATGTTGCATCTGTGCTTTCTTTCTTCTTTTGGGAGCTGAACACGTATTTGGGTGCAGAGATGGTTAATGTGCTATAGTGTTGCATTTACCCATTTTTATTTGTTTATTTAATCTTAAACATTTTCTTTGTTTTGCATTGAAAATAAAAAGTGACGTGTGGGTTTTTTGTTTTTTTTATTTTTAGGAAGCAGCACGGCCTGCATCGTGGTTTTGGACCGGCAGAGTCATCGGCTGCACACGGCCAACCTGGGAGACTCTGGCTTCCTGGTGGTCCGGGGAGGGGAGGTGGTCCACCGCTCAGATGAGCAGCAGCACTACTTCAACACCCCCTTCCAGCTGTCCATTGCTCCCCCAGGGGCTGAGGGGGCCGTCCTCAGTGACAGGTGAAACACTTAACGAGCAACGCCTGGTGCATCTGCTCTCCCACACTCATTTGAGCGAGTCTGCCGGTGACACGGACGGGTGTCATCAGCACACTTCATTGCTCATTCATGTGTTCTTTACAGTAGATGTGATACATGATACTGTACTTATAACAAGGCAGACTGCTTGCAGAAACGGCATGCACTGCACAACATTCAATAGCGCCTGCTGCAAGGCTGAGCGTCTATAGCGACTGCGCTGCAGCGAGCTGCAGTGTACCAGTGTGTCTGAGGCCACGTGCTGCTGTGTCTCGTTGCTGTGGCGTGCCAAGCAGCAGCACAGTAGATGTCAGAATGCAGGACAGGCCCTGGATGTGTGCCAAGCTTTCCCTCTTACCTCAGGTCAAAGTCTGTGTGGGCTGATAGGGCAAATCCACAAGTCCACAGCCAATCCTGCACCAGCAGACTCCTCTTAAATTAAGCAATTTATTCTTACAAAATAAATAAAAACAAAAGATTGCAAGTGAGCTTACTTGTTACTATAGATATGTGTATTTACTTTTCTTAAATGCTGACCTTGCTTCTGTTTCAGACAGCCCATAGATTTGAGAAATCCTTTTACATTCGAGCATTTCATTTGGTTGAAGGATTTAGTCCTAGTGCATCAGCAGATTAAGCTTTCAGTCACTAATGTAGCAACCAACAGAAAAGAGTGCAAGGGTCAAAGCTAACAACTAGTTACAGCATTCCTGAGAGTGCACTAAAAGTTTGGATAAAGATGTTTAAACATACAGCTAAGCACTTTGCACTCTCTATGTTAATGCCACACAGCTCTTTATTTGCCACAAGTCCGTTTGTACGTTCATTTTCATTGCCTGTCTTTGTGTTAGTAATAATATACAAGGGAAACATCATGTTCTCGATGCATTGCTTCACAGCTATAAGCCCACTGATTTCTGCCTTCTTGCCCGATGATTATCTTCATAACTATACTGGCTGTGTAATTATCAAGTGTCACAAATGTCTTTGGCTTATGAATATGTTAATGATGAATCACCCAGTGTGCACATATAACAAAGAGTGAGGAACAGCTCTGGTAAGTGTGGCTGTGTCATCATAGTGCTAACTAGCTGCAAGAACAGCCGCTACAGCAGCTTTTTCTCCCCATGTGACTGTAGTTCTGGCTTCATAAAAAAAATACATTAAAAAATTAGAGCACAGGACAGGCTGTTCCTGGGAGCTTTGGCTCACTGTGTCATGATGCAGTCCAGACAGTTTGTAATGAATCACATTCTCGACTGGATTTCGGGGGTAAGGACATCTTCCAGGAACTGAACCCGACACTGGCAAACTAACTTGGTTTCTGCCTCTGTGTATTTGAAGCGCCTTCATAATGGCAGCACCTTTTCTTGGACCCAACTGTCCTTTCCAAGAAAACAAACAAAACAAAAAAACCTCATGTGATGATTACCTGAACTTTTCATTATCCATTAGCAACCAAGTTTCTGTTGCTAAGCTCAGTCGGTACGTTTAATGACAAAAATTACTGCACCCGTCTCTTACCTGAAACTCACCTGTGTCTGTCCCTCAGCCCTGACGCTGCAGACAGCACCTCCTTTGACGTACAACTGGGCGACATCATCCTCACTGCCACTGATGGGCTCTTTGACAACATGCCAGACTACATGATACTGCAAGAGCTGAAGAAACTCAAGGTGAGTGACAAACATGTCTGCCGTAGAATCAGAAAAGGGCACGATAAACGCCTAATGCCTGCTTTGTTTGGTTCCTCAGAACACAAACTATGAGAGCATTCAGCAGACGGCCCGCAGCATCGCAGAGCAGGCCCACGTGTTGGCCTATGACCCCAACTACATGTCACCTTTCGCACAGTTTGCCTGTGACAATGGACTGAATGTAAGAGGTAAGTGTCCGAGTATTTTTTGTAATTTGAACAGTTACAAACGTGTTTTTCAAGCAACAAACCTAACTGGCTGCTGTTTCCTGTCCATGCAGGAGGAAAACCAGATGACATCACAGTACTGCTCTCCATAGTAGCTGAGTACACTGACTAGAGTCTGCACGGAGTATCCATCTGCCGCTGCAGGTGATGGACTGCTTTGATTCCTGCTGGCCAGGATGTACAGCTAATGTCTGCTTCCCCCACACCTAAAGGATCTACTCTGCCTCATCCACCCACCGTCTCCCCCACTTGGCCAACCCCACACATTTAAAAACAAACAAAAGAAATCCTTCAACATGCCCTTTTCTCTGTTGTTTTCTACATCAGACAGTGGCCAGATAAATCCAACTAAAGGCCACACACCCCGTTGGCCGGGCTGCAGTGTTCCAATGCTCACCAGATAATCCCATTGGCTGGGATCATTGGGCATGCTGATGAGGATAAGTCAGCCTCTTCTGATAGTTGCCGCAGGAAAGAAGCTGCAATTCAGAGAAGACGGATGCTGACATAGCCCAAGAGTGTGTGTTAGCATGTGAATGTGGCCACGTACTGGCCTGCCGAACAGAACTAAACAGTCCTCAAGAAGGGAAGCGCACGAGAAATGGCAGCGTTAAGGCTCAATAAATGGGTCTGTCTTGTGCAAGCACTTAATAATACAGTGGTACTTAGGAAGCCTTTATGAAAGGGACTGGAAACTTGTACGAAAGGGCAGGGAGCATATGTTTGATATGAATGGTATGTTGTTCTGGGATGTTACATTAAATGTTTGCAAAAACAGAAACGAAACAAGTGTGATGTGACATGGGTATACACAGATGGTTTGATTCTTGTGGCAGGATAATCCAACAAGATTTCATAAAGAGTGGCAGCTGCCTTTTCCATACCAGTTCAAGTATTGCACATATTTTGTAACTTAAGAATATTTTGTAGCTCAAAAGCCTCTCAAGATAAATATATATATAGTATAAATGATAGAGTCAAACTGATGTCCTCCCTTTAATCTCACAGCTGCTGCTGAAGTCTTGATTGTGATTGTGTGTGATGTGTGTATGAATGGGTGATGAATGCACATGAGCTCCTCGGTGTGTGTCTATTGAGTAATGTGCAATCGGTGTCAATGAAATGGATGTGTAGGCTAGAGACTTCTCCATATCCGCTGGTCTGAATTGGTCTCGCAGCCTTAAACGCACAAAGCTTAAGGAGCATATCTGAAATAGTTCAACGCAGCGGAAATTGGTCAGGTGACCAAATGTATTTTTGTAACCTCTTTGTTCCGTGGGGATTGTTCGCCGCGTCAAGCAGCTTACAGAAACTCTTGTTCACAGTCACCATTTGCTTTTCCTGTCTCTCTCCCTCCCTCCTCTCCCCCTGCTTGTAGAGCTCCAGTGGCGCATTCTTAAGTCATGTCACTGCAGGTTTCATGTGAAAAATGGTCAGTATGTTTCTTTGCGTCACTACAGGAAGATTTCACGGTAAAATCCACATTTTTGTGTAATATTACAATGTGCCTTGTATCATGTGTCATTGATACTGGCAAATAAGTCTTCAACCTTCCCCCTAAAAATGTGCCAGCACTGAGCACAAAGCATTAAACTGTTAAGTAACCATAAGAGTTGGAAAAAAGAGAGCTTTCACATCATGCCCTGCTGTCTTAACACCATCATTTTAACCCCAGTGTTTTGTTTTTATCCCCCCTCCCCCGTTCTCCTGAAATCTGCTTCCTCTCTGCACTCAATCAGGAATAGTACTAAAGCCATCCCACACTTAGAAAATCCTTCCCATGGATCTTTAGATCACTGTTTACAATCTGCACTAATCGAAAGGATAGTTTCCTTAATGTGACACCTTGTCAGGTGTCATGTTGAAATGAGAACAGATTCAGGACGGTGAACAGTGTTAGTTGGCAAAATGTGATTTATTTATTTTTTTTCTAAGTGTTACAGCACTGAGGACAATCCAAGCAGCCTTAACAAAAATGATAAAGCACTTCTCCCAGTCATTTGGCACTACCACTGTAAGCTCCATTGTCCCTGCTTCCTGTTTCACACCTCCCTGGATGACTCCTTTTCATCCGCCTCATCTTTCTGTTTAAACCAGAGCATGTCTATGTGGGAGAAACAAAAACATTTTCACATGTGTACAATGTTTAAATAAAGACTATAATATTTATTAACCTGCTGTATTTCATGGCTCTGATGTGTATTGAACACTGCAGCTGCGTTTTGTTCACATGAAGGACATTTGGCTCACTGCTCTATAGTCTGGGAACACTTTGTACATTTTGTTTGTGCTACAACATTCCTCAGACACAATGCGTGCCAGTTACCATCAGATGGGTGTGGCATCGTCCCGAGATGGCACATTTTTATTGACCAACAACATGGATGGTATATTGTTCCAATGAACAGTAACTGGAAAAAAACATTTTAACAATAAACAATATTTAATAAAAACTATTCTGGAGAGATTAACACTTTGATAACTATTTAGAGAAGAACATTGTTGCTGAACTGCTATTCCCTCAGAGTGACGGGCTTCTCGGATAGTCTTCCTCATCACTGAAATATGCCAGGACAGGTAGTCTGGGAGCACCATCATCATCGTCATCACCAGGTTCTGAGGACAAGGCCTTGAACAGCAGGGAGCAGATCTACAGGATACAAATAGCCAAACATGAGTGTATGCAGTTCATTCAAGAACATTCTGCCATTTTTTCTCATTTTAGATTTACAGCACTTGTGCATTTGCTCTGACCACCTGTCAATGTTTACGTTAAATCTCAGTACAACAGAGGACACTGCATGAGGGTCACTTAAAAACAGTGTCCACAGGGAGACTGGCTCAAGATCTTGAGTGGAACAGCTAAGATACTGCGCAGGACCTTGGTAGAGGACCCGAGCTTGAAGGATTGACCGCCTGCAGGGGCGAGGGGGGGATTTTTCTAAATATATTCCTATGATAAATCCATCCATCCATTTGCTTCCGCTTATCCTTTTCAGGGGCGCGGGGGGCGCTGGAGCCTATCCCAGCTGTCATAGGGCGAGAGGCGGGGTACACCCTGGACAGGTCGCCAGTCTGTCGCAGGGCCAACACACAGGGACAGACAACCATTCGCACTCACACTTACTCGCACATTCACACCTAGTGGCAATTTGGATTTTCCAATTAACCTATCCCCACAAGCTGCATGTCTTTGGACGGTGGGAGGAAGCCGGAGTACCCGGAGAGAACCCACGCAAACACGGGGAGAACATGCAAACTCCACACAGAAAGACCCCGGCCTGATGGTGGAATTGAACTCAGGACCTTCTTGCTGTGCGGCAACAGTGCTAACCACCGTGCCACCATGCTGCCCCTTCCAAGTACTGACCAGGCCCGACCCTGCTTAACTTCCGAGATCAGACGAGATCGGGGGTGTTCAGGGTGGTATGGCCATAAGCCTATGATAAATCATTACAGTTAATTTGCTCAAAATAATGACATGCTACAGAACTGATATGCAGAACAGTATTGGAGCAGTCAGTTATTTCACATGCACACAGGCAAAAGTTTAAGTTCACTTAGTGCTGCACATCTGCCTTCATAATCTTCTTGTGCATTTGAAATATTTTTTGGATGGTGGAGTTTCGACTAGCATGCTTTATTTTGGCAACGCTTCCTGTCTTGAGTCGGGCCTGCACTGGAGGTGTCCTCACAGTGCAGTCTGCAGCTTGGAGGATGACCTGAAGGCTCATCAGAGGAGTCTTAAATTTAAACACTATTAAGCAATAAACCTGTGTTAACAGGGAAAGTTGCACAGAAGACATTTGCTAAAAGGTTTTGGGTTCAGCGAAAGTCTTTGAATCTTAAAGGGTGACAAAGAACATAAGACATGTCTCAGCTGATATTGTAAACCATTACAGCACACCCTGAACCATACTTCTCAGAAAGACTGTAGAGCATCCAAACCACAAGGAACACACAGGCCATCTCCAGATCCCAGTTAAGATTTAAAAATCAAGAGCGAGCTCTTGTTACCATGCTGGAAGGTGGGGTCATTCCAGCACAAGCACTGTCGCCCTGGCATTGGAGTTGCATCAGAACAGGTGGGTAGGTTATAGGGCTGCCTTGGCTGGATTCAACAAGCTCTGTTACATCAGGAAGAACTTGGAGGTTGTTGCTCTGAGTCTCATGTATACCCACAGGCAGAGCAGCTGCATCTGCACAGCTGGGAACAGACAGAACACACTTGTGTCTGCAAGCTGTAGATGATGCAGGTACATGGGTGCAAATTTGTATCTCAACACAGATTCAGAGTGTTTTTACACACATATATTCAGACAGTATTGATAAACATATCTACTAGTTTTAGAAATGAGGATGTTGTGTAGTACCTTCCAATCCATATAAATATTAAAAACATAGCCGTTATTTGCTTTTACAAAAACAGTACCTAGCATTGTATCAGCAGATGGTGAAAGCAGCCTTAAGCACGGTAAAAGGGAACAAAACAACAACCTCGTGCATGCAACCACACGACACGTCAACCTCAGAAGTAACCTAGACACGTAATTAGGAGCACAGCAGGAAGGAGTAAAGTAGCTTCTAAAGGCCCCAGAGTCTGCAGGCAAGCAAGTGTTGTACTTATCATACCATGAAAAACACAAATACATTACATATAGTCAGAAATATCCTGGATGATCAATTTCATCAGGAAAAAAAAAGTATTAAAATGTAGATCAATTCTGAGCATTAGGGACGGGAGCACTGCAGAGGGTCGAATCATGGGGTTGGTGATGTCTCTGCAGACTTCCAGCAGTGTACACAAGCAAAACGAGCTACAAATGACCCAGATGTTGAGCAGTGCAGCTGGGAATGGTGTAATAAGATCCAACTAGACGCACAAGTAGAGGACAATAGGGAGAGAGCAGGCTAGCAAAGCAGGACAGAGACTCTGGCTAGCATAGCGTGGAGGAGGGGATTATAGACTGTCACACTGACGGGCTTCTAACCCAACTCTGCGTGCCCTGACCTTGCCCTATTTATCTCCATTACAGACACAAGGCTGGCTGCTGCAACATGATGCCTCTTAAGAGGCTAAAAACAGCCAATGAGGGCAAACCAGCTTGACTGAGTTCCAGGAGAGAGGCTCAGGTAGCTCTTCAGTACACTGGATTGTAGACCTGACAAACTGGACGCACAAAGACTGCGACAATGACACCAGCTGGTCAACATAACGATAAAATACACTCCTCACACGCCATAATTCCTTAACCCATGTAACTCCTGCCAATTTAAATCGTTAGAATAATAATCGTATACAAAATATATGGATGGATGTATCACCGCTTCAAGTCAACAGTAATTCAAATAACCTACATCAGCAGAAGACCACAATAAGTGGCACTCCTGTCTGCTAAAAACAGGAAACTGAGAATCCAATTCATGCTGACTCACAAATATTGAACAACAGAATATCAAAAAATGTTGATGATTTAAGAAAGAAGTCCTGCAACATTCAGATGACAGGACCACAATTTAAAATAAACAACATGAAAGCATGTCCTCCTGCCTTGTTTCAATAGTTTGAGTTGGTAATGGTGTTGTAAAGGTGTGGGGCATATTTTCTTGGCAAACTTTGGGGATCTTAGTCAAACTGAGCATCATTTAAAGGCCACACTATAGTTGCAGGCCACGTCTATCCCTTTATGACCACAGTGTACGTCTCCATCTTCTGACATGTGCTTCTAGCAGGTATCGCACCATCTCACAAAGCTCTCATAATCTCAAACTGCTTTCCTGAATGAGACAATGAATTCAAATGGGCTCCACAGTCACCAGACTTCAGTAAAACAGAGCATCTTTGGGATGTGGTGGAACAGGAGTTTCACATCATGGATATGCAGCCAAGACACCTGCAGCAACTATGTGATGCTGTCATGTCAGTATGGACTAAAATAGCTAAGGAATATTTCTGAAGGCAAAAAGGTTTTCTATAAAGTGTCCGATGAGTGCAGATTCTAATTGATTGCCATCCAGGGGCGTAATTACAAACAAACTTTTAGGCTAATAGCTTAAAAATGTAAATGGAAGCTCAAGCTATCAGATATTATAGACTGGGCAAGACAAATGACATCAAACTCCACTAAAAAAAACAAACAAACAGGCTGTTCAAAAAGGCCCGAGGACCCTTTCTCTATGTCATAAAATATCTGGACTATGTAGAAAGTTAATCTGCATGATTTATCTGTTGCAGTATTTAGCAGATTTTTTGTTTATGACAGTTTTTTTGAATGATTTTGATCTTTTTTTTAAGCATTTTTATCTGCCAATGACTTGTTTTCTAACTAGATTGTGTGGTCTCTTGTGTTTTCATTGAGATGAATTCCTTTTATGTTCTGTGATTTTTCTCAGGTTTTTTATTTTGTTCAAATTAATTTTAAAAAATTGCTTTAAAAAATGTACTGCAGTAATTACCCTTCTTTCCCCCCAGGCACTGATGATTAAAGGTATTGCCAGTGAAGCCAGGGGTGGTCGTTACCTGTGTGTAGCTGGGGTCTCTGTAGGCTGTGAGGGGCCTCTGCTTTCAAAGTCAGCCAGCGTAGCCAGCACCACAGTGGCCTCAAGGACCATGTCCTCCACAGAGAAGCACACAGGCCTGCAAACAAAGTGCGTTTCCATGGCAGAAATCCCTTCACTGTGTCTTCTTTTTTCTTTTTTTTTTATTTGTCAGCACTTTTTACTTTTTAGCAGCAAACACACCACAACTGCTCACTTAGTGATGTGATATATAAACGTTAAAGAATTTTGCAGTCTAGCTGTTGTTAATTTGTTGAACAGCACCACAGAGCCTGTGTAATTTGAGTGAATAAATTCCACTCAAGGTAATGACAGTAGCAAGGAAACGTACTTTCCTGGATTGCCAAAGTGAACCGACACCGGAAGGCAATGTGACTCCGCAAAACACAGTAACCCCTGGCAAAAACAAAAAAGCAACAACTGAGTTTAACTGCTGAAAAGTGTGGGCTAATATTGTGACATGTTTAACTATTATCAGCCTGGAGATATACATCAAATTAAGGCTAAGACTAAAACTTAAAGCCTAGTTTCTAATCCGTCCAAACCCGATTTTCCAAAACCGACAGGAACAAGACGACTAGGCGGGCTAACGAGGAGCCTCACAGCGGGAAGCCCAAGTGACTTTCCAAGACATTAGGGTGAAGAGTTGTAGGCATTAATGCAGGCCAAGTCTCATTAACTGAACGTACACAGACTGTTATTTCAAATATCCAACAAAACTGTCTCCTTTTTCTATAAGCCAAGTGATTTTGCTTTACTGATCACACTAGTCTACACATTACACTTCTCTCAGCTTTTTCTGCTAATCAAATTATAAATAGCCAATCTTTAAGCAGCCCATAAAGTCCACACTCATTCCTACTTGGTTTTAAAGTTTATAATAAAGCATGCAATGAGGAGCCTTCAACTTCAGTTACTTTTTCTACGTAGATGGTAGCCTCACTCGGGTCAAGACATCTTTGCTATAAAGATGAGTGACAGCACTGAGGGGAAAGTTCACATGGAAATGATACCGAGCACCGAGTACAGGAGAGCAATCTTAGACATGAATTGCTCACATGTGAGCTAGTGTCACTCTCGCTTTCCACACACATAATATTCTCATGTGACAGGAGCAAGGAGGCCTCCAAAAATAACCCCGTTACCCTTAGCTCCTTCAGACAGAAGGTTATGTCCGAGTCCATTCCAGCTTGAAAGTAGTCAAACTCGTCTGGGTGTAAGGACATCTCAGTGTGCATCATCTTCATGTGATCTGTCACACAGGTACATCCAAGTCAAACAGCAGTCGTTACAGTGTTTCCTTTGATGTGCTTAAAGAACTGAACATGCAGTATGTTAGGAAGTTTAATGTTCATCTCAAAGCTTGTGCAACTTTTAAGCACTTTGTGAAATGTGTCAGCCACACGTGGGCTGAGCTAAATGGCAGTCTGACATTAACTGACCATTTCTCCCCTCGTTGTAATTTCTCAGACTGACTTTCGGGGCGGACATCGACAGAGTGACTTCTTCCTGAGACGCGTGGAAATGCATCACCATATCGCCTAGAAGCCTGAAGAAAGAGGAAAACACACACAGGCAGCTCTGGCTGCTTACTTTTAACATTTGTTTTCTGTCAATATATATTCTTGGTATTGTCTGAAACACAAAACCAACAGGCAGCCAGCATGTACTGATTGTAGAAAAGAAGAGTGAGGCTCTAATGCTGAAATGCTAACCTGGCAGGAGATTTCAGCACATTGGGACAGAGGTGTGAGGCAAACACTGCCTGCAGCGCCTCACTTTCCAGGAAACGCACATTGTAGGTTTTTGTTATGCCTAACTCAAAAACAGAGACATTTAGAGCACAGTGCCACCATGTGTTCAAAATATAAACTGCATGCACACCTACTGTCATTTATGCAGTTTCCTACCGTGTCTGCAGAAAAACTGAACGATCACTTGGTCACTGCCAGTGCTGACTGATATCTGACACCGTTTCACACTGTGCTCAATAGAAGTCGAACAACGGAAAAGTGGCAGCACGGACTTTAAAACAAAGAGACGCAGTTTAATCATAAAGTCTTGAAAGAACGGCATGATGTGTAGCCCTAATTTTACAGAACAGTCACTTGTTACGATGATGTTTCTGCCTACAAATGAAAAACCAGCAATGCCAATATACCTTCATGACTAGCTTGCATTTGATTGGTTCACTGTCCTGCTCCCTGACTGAATCCAGATTGTACTGCTGGAAGAAGAGCGGCGAAAAGAGGAAGCAGGCGTATGCAGAATGAGCAGAATTCACTGATCTCAGGGCCAGCTTTGAGAGGGAGAGAGAGAAATTATTGTGGAGGAAGTAAGGTGGTGAATACCTTAACACCTGGAGATTATTGATACAGATGCTCTTGTACACACACATTGGTCACTTTATTAGTTGCACCTGTTTAACTGCTCATTAACACAAATATCTAATTAGCAAATCACATGACAACAATGCCATGCTGAAGTTCAAACCAATCATCAGAATGGAGGATTGAAGTGACTTTCAAGGTTGCATGCTTGTTAATACCAAATGTGCTGCTCTACTGTGATTTTCTAACAACCATCTGTAGTGTTTACAAAATGTTGGCTGGTCTGATGAGTCTCGATATCTACTGCAATATTCACATGGTGGGGTCAGCATAAATTAGCATGAAAGCATGGTTCCCTCCTGGCGTCTGTCAACAATCCAGATTGATGGTGGTGGTGTAATGCTGTAGGGGATATTTTCTAGGCCCCTCAGTACTAAATAAGCATGGTTTAAATGCTACAGCCTACCTGAGAACATGAAAATGTTCAACCACAACTCGATCCAATAGAGCTTCTTTGGCATGTGGTGACTTGATATTATTCAATCGTTTTTGACAGATTATAGGACAACAAGCCATTTACAACAGTTTAATACCATTAATTAAATTTTTTAAACTTTGCAAATACTTTTTCAAAGTGTACCTAATAAAGCGTCAATGAGCATTTTTACATCTAGCTGCTGTTGCTGCTCACCCCTTTGACCGTTGGATCCAACCACAGCTCATCTCCAACCCGGGACAGGGCATGAATAGCCTTCCCAAATGCTGAAACACAACACAGCCCCTCCACAGTTCAAGTTTGACACAATATTGTTATTTACTATACTGTGTTATTTTTACTATAACCTTGATATTTCTTTCTCTTAATACCATGAAACGAAACATTTTCAGACAGAAAAGTGCACTTTTCTGTCTGAAAATGTTAGGGGTCATGACCCCCTAAAGCTAACTCATTATTAGCCAGTTTAGCTACATCAGATAAGCTAGTCCCGTTGTTCGTTCCAAATGAACAATTTCGTAGCTTGAACAACTTTAATCAAGATTATAGAATTAAATATGTTATTTTTACAGCAAATTTCTGTTCGTATCTTCTTCGAGTGTTCTTTATATTACCTTTTATAGAGTTTCCTTCCAGGACGCAGTTCATGGTTTGCTATGTCAGACACAGGCCTGTCACGGCTAATCACGGTGACTCTACGGTCACAGGCTCATTACCAAGGTTATTATAGTTAACTAAAACTAATCAACTGGTTAAAGGAAAATAAACTAGTTAAGGGAACTACAAATACCTAGTTAACTTAAGTCGTTTTAACTATAAAAACTAAAACTACATAGTTTTATTAAAAAATCTATATTTAAAAAATCCGGAAGGATTTGCGAACTTGGAAAACTTACTGAATTAACATTTAAAATGCAGAAAATATATCCTGTTAGTCTGGTAAATGTTTTTTTTTTGTTTTGTTTTAAATTATCTTACAAGGCTTTGGTGGACATTTATCGAGATTTTATTGAGTTTCCCAAATCTTTCCTCTTACATGTGACCAAAATACACGTTTTCAAGCAATGTGTTTGTTTTTTGTAATACCTATAATGATTTTCCTAAATCTTACCTCTTACATATTCCTACATTTTCCTAATAATAATTATAGACTAAAACCAAGATAATCTTAACAAATTAAACATTTCAAACAATAACATCTAAACTCACAATGGAAACTAACTGAAATTAAATTAAAAGCAAAAACAAGTTCAAATGAAATAAAAATAAAAAACTAATTAGAAACCATAATCATTTTTAAATAAATAAATAAATACAGAGACAGACAACATTAACCAACCAAGTATGTTTGGACTGTGGGAGGAAGATGAAGTCCCCAAAGAGAACATGCAAACAACACAAGTCTCAGCTGCCTTAATAAACAGATATGCTACATTTATTGATGTATTTTGGATATTAGCATGTGTATGAATGTAAGACTTTTCCTACGACAACCTATTTATAAATCATAATAAATACATATATATCATCTGTTGACTATTTTTGGAAGTGTGACATCAGAATAAGCTCTGTCGCTGCTTCTCCTTTGCCTTTGTTGCTTATTTGCTGCTGCATTGCTCTTCTCTGGATCAGTTTTAAACATGCTCTTTTCTTTGCAATGATGATCTCCATACATTCTCCTGCGGGTCTCATCATGACCTGGGCGATCCAAAACACAGGATGCGTTGGACTGTGCTGGTCAGTTTATGTGTGAGACAAACTTTTACTGCATTCAGAATGAATTCAGATACAGACCTGACTGAATGCATGCGTGCAGGACATTGAGATAGTGCTGCTTCATTTGCCGTCTCATGTGCTCTGTACTGTAGATGCTTGCTATACTGTAGAGGTAGGGTGTGCGCCCTCCTGTAAAAGCTGGCTCCTGAGATAAGAACAGATGTGATTACACATGGCAGAAGGACAGTAGGTCGTTATATATAAGAGATGCCTTAAATATGTTTTAAATGAGAAAATCAAGTTCCTCTCCTGGCATGAATTAAACCCGCACAGAATGATTCAATTCTATTCACCAGGAATTACATATTTAGAAAACACTCTTTGTGCCTTGAAAACTGGTAACTTTTACTTCACTTTGTATGTGGGTTTTAGCCCTCCATCGCATGCCTGCATTCTGCCACCATGCTCCCTCTGCAGCTAAAAGCAAACCAGACCCCACTCACTCACTAGTTCTCCTGTTACATGGAGGGAGGGAGAGTGGCTGACCCCACTGCAGCAGTGTGTGTTTTAGGTGTGTGTGCTCTAACCCTAACCCCAGTGCTTTTCTGTAAAAAGGAACACAATGTAAAACATATTAAGATGATACTGTATTGCAACAAAAGCTTTCCAGCAAATATTACTTGTTGTCAGCTCAGGTCATATCTTCACCTGTGCCTGCTCTGCTAAAGAAACTAGCTGGCCTTTCAATTGAAGAAACTATCAAACAGCTAATAAAATCTGTCACTACTGTCAAATGAGTCAAGTTCTCGGTGGATTTAAATTTATCAGTTTAGTTTCTTAGGTTTGTTGCTTTAGAAAAACTCAAATCTAACATATAGTAATAAATATCATTTTAGGGGCAGTTTTAACCTTTTTTCAAGAGTGCAACACTCATAGATAGATAGGAAAGAGGTGGAGGGAGAGTGAGCATAGTGAACGACATGTAGTAAAGGATTGCAAAAAGAAAAAACACCATATTTTTTCCCCTGGAGAGGTTCTTTAGCCCTTGATGGTCAAAAAAACCCCCCAAAAAAACCAGAAGCTACCTGTTCCAGCTTTGTGAGGTTACCTGTAAGAAAGGGGCAGACATCATAGATTTTGGAGGATGTATCGTTTTCAAGTGTTGGCTGCCTGCAGGTATATTTGTGTGTTGTTCTCTGTAGATTTCTCTCACCTGCTGACCAGGTAGACATTCAAAGCCTACCAAAAAGCAACATGTCAGGAAAAAATGCTGTGTTTATGACAGGAAATCTGTCTGAAGTCCTCTGTACACAATGGTATTATAAAGTTCAATATGAAGCCATCTGTCAGACAGCTTAAGATTGGCTGGAGTCCTGAAACAGGATTGTGATCCCAAGCAT